AAGGGGAGTTAGGCAAGCCTGTCCCCTTTCCCCATATTTGTTTATTCTTGCTGCGGAGATCTTGGCCAAGACCGTCCGAAACAACAAGGGCATAACAGGTTTTTCTCTGGGTAATGACGAAGTTAAGATAAGCCAACACGCTGATGATACCACTCTTGTGTTAGACGGTTGAGAGAAATCCCTTATACCAGCAATACAAAGTTTAGATGATTTTTGTTAGATCTCCGGCCTCAAGTTAAACGATAGCACAACGGAAGCCCTTTGGATCGGTTCTAAGACAGCACATGAACAAATCCTTGTTTCAGGAAAGAAGTTTTTAAAAATGGCCAAAATATAAAGTCAAACACTCGGTCTGTGGCTGTCAACCGATCCGGACATGGCTTTGACGTTGAATTACAACGAAAAAACTGAAAACATTAGGAAGCTTTTGAGTTGCTGGAAATATTGCAGGCTCACGTTGTTAGGGAAAATTACTGTCCTTAACTCACTGACCGCATCACAACTGGTATACTTGCTCTTCCCTTTTACGCTCAAATCATTACGCTACAAAGGAAATAAATGACATGTTTTACCATTTTCTATGGAATGGTGAAGGTGACAAAATCAAGAGAAAAGTTATGATCAATGAATCTGAGTATGGAGGTCTGAAGATGATTGAACTTTATCCTTTCAACAAATGTCTTAAAACAACATGGGTTAAAAAGTACTTGGACGCTACTTAAAACGGAAAATGGAACGTTATCTTTGATCTATAACTGGAGAACTACGGCCGCAATCTCATTTTCCGTGGTAATCTCAACCGTTGAGACTCAACGTCTCTGACACTATGAAAGAGATTAGGGCAACGGACCCCGTAACTAAAGAAAAATTGGAATATTGGAAAGAAATAAACTTTGTGGATAAAGTAAGTTCTGATATCGCTTGTCAAGAACAGGTTCTGTGGTTCAACTCTTTGATAAGGATAGATAATGAAAAATTTCTTTTTTAAAGAGTGGTTTGAAATAAGTATCTCCAAAGTTAAGCACGGTCAAACGGGAAACGATAATTTTCTGACTCTCAAAGATTTTGCCTCCAAACATGATTTAAGAGTACGCTCGCTCAGTTTTTACGGTTTACTATCAGCTGTTCAACGAATTCGCAAAAATGTTACCGATACTGCTGAGACAAAAGACTATAACTCTGAAACACCGAGTGAAAACTGAATTGTTAAAAGAGAAAAGCTAGGTCCATTAATTTACCAAAAGCTGACCAGAGCCAATAGTTTAACCGCACGTAAAAGCCAACTAAAATGACTTCAAGACTGTAACTACTCAGACGAAGAAGGAACATATAACTAAGCACTTGCCTATTTTATGGCGCAAAGTAGCACCAAACTGAGTTCCAATTTATACTATCACATAGGCGCATACCAACCAATGATTTCTGACTTAAAAAGGACGAAAAGAAAATGACATATATGCCTTTTGCAACAATTCCTCGTACACGCTAATTCATCTTTTTTGGTCTTGCCATGTTACATGAGTATACAGGGTATAAAGGGTATACATGGGTATACAGGGTATACATGAGTATACAGGGGTATACATGGGTATCCAGGGTATACAAGGTATACATGGGTATACAGGGTATACATGGGTATACAGGGTATACAGGGTATACATGGGTATCCAGGGTATACATGAGTATACAGGGTATACAGGGTATACAAGGTATACAGGGTACACAGGGTATACTGGGAGCACATGGGTATACAGGGGTATACAGGGTATACAGGGTATACAGGGTATACAAGGTATACAAGGTATGCAAGGTATACAGGGTATACATGGGTATACAGGGTATACATGAGTATACAGGGTATACAGGGTATACATGAGTATACAGGGGTATACAGGGTATACAGGGTATACAGGGTATACAAGGTATACATGGGTATACAGGATATACATGAGTATACAAGGTATACATGGGTATACAGGGTATACAGGGTATGCATGGGTATACAAGGTATACAGGGTATACATGGGTATACAGGGTATACATGGGTATACAGGGTATACATGGGTATACAGGGTATACAGGGTATACATGGGTATACAGGGTATACAGGGTATACATGGGTATACAGGGTATACAGGGTATACAAGGTATACAAGGTATATATGGGTATACAGGGTATACATGGGTATACAGGGTATACAGGGTATACTGGGAGTACATGGGTATACATGGGTATACAGGGTATACAGGGTATACAGGGTATACTGGGAGTACATGGGTATACATGGGTATACAGGGTATACAGGGTATACAAGGTATACAAGGTATACATGGGTATACAGGGTATACATGGGTATACAGGGTATACAAGGTATACAGGGTATACATGGGTATACAGGGTATACATGGGTATACAGGGTATACATGGGTATACAGGGTATACAGGGTATACATGGGTATACAGGGTATACAGGGTATACATGGGTATACAGGGTATACAGGGTATACAAGGTATACAAGGTATACATGGGTATACAGGGTATACATGGGTATACAGGGTATACAGGGTATACTGGGAGTACATGGGTATACATGGGTATACAGGGTATACAGGGTATACAGGGTATACTGGGAGTACATGGGTATACATGGGTATACAGGGTATACAGGGTATACAAGGTATACAAGGTATACATGGGTATACAGGGTATACATGGGTATACAGGGTATACAGGGTATACAGGGTATACTGGGAGTACATGGGTATACATGGGTATACAGGGTATACAGGGTATACAAGGTATACAACGTATACATGGGTATACAGGGTATACATGGGTATACAGGGTATACAGGGTATACAGGGTATACTGGGAGTACATGGGTATACATGGGTATACAGGGTATACTGGGAGTACATGGGTATACATGGGTATACAGGGTATACAGGGTATACAAGGTATACAAGGTATACAGGGTATACAGGGTATACATGGGTATACAGGGTATACAGGGTATACAGGGTATACTGGGAGTACATGGGTATACATGGGTATACAGGGTATACAGGGTATACAAGGTATACAAGGTATACATGGGTATACAGGGTATACAGGGTATGCTGGGTATACAAGGTATACAGGGTATACATGGGTATACAGGGTATACATGGGTATACAGGGTATACAGGGTATACATGGGTATACAGGGTATACAGGGTATACATGGGTATACAGGGTATACAGGGTATACAAGGTATACAAGGTATACATGGGTATACAGGGTATACATGGGTATACAGGGTATACAGGGTATACAGGGTATACTGGGAGTACATGGGTATACATGGGTATACAGGGTATACAGGGTATACAGGGTATACTGGGAGTACATGGGTATACATGGGTATACAGGGTATACAGGGTATACAAGGTATACAAGGTATACATGGGTATACAGGGTATACATGGGTATACAGGGTATACAGGGTATACTGGGAGTACATGGGTATACATGGGTATACAGGGTATACAGGGTATACAGGGTATACAAGGTATACATGGGTATACAGGGTATACATGGGTATACAGGGTATACAGGGTATACAGGGTATACAAGGTATACAAGGTATACATGGGTATACAGGGTATACATGGGTATACAGGGTATACAGGGTATACAGGGTATACTGGGAGTACATGGGTATACATGGGTATACAGGGTATACTGGGAGTACATGGGTATACATGGGTATACAGGGTATACAGGGTATACAAGGTATACAAGGTATACATGGGTATACAGGGTATACATGGGTATACAGGGTATACAGGGTATACAGGGTATACTGGGAGTACATGGGTATACATGGGTATACAAGGTATACAGGGTATACATGGGTATACAGGGTATACATGGGTATACAGGGTATACATGGGTATACAGGGTATACAGGGTATACATGGGTATACAGGAGAATGGACATTCTATTACTGTTATATGAAACACTAGGTCTATTTGGCGTAAGCGTAACATGAAAGAATAACCAAAAGCACATGAAAATGACATAGGAATAACAAAGACTGAAAGACATCGAATTACAAAGATGGTTAAGTGATGTAAACAATGATGTAAGAAAAGACGCCAACCAAAAGAACAAACTAAGAACCTCCCAAAAATTTAAAACAATAGAAAATTCTAAATGCGAAGATTATCTCTGTCAGGTCACCAACGTCCGACACCGGATAACTCTAACTAAACTCCGTCTAAGTAATCACAAATTGGCGATAGAGACAGGTCGGTATGTAAGACCTTATAAGAAACCGGAAGAGAGGATCTGTCCTATCTGTAAAAAAGACGTAGAAGATGAAAATACACTTTTTAACTCTGTGCCCTGCGTATCAAGGAAAAAGAAGTACTTCATTTGAATACTTAACAAAAGAATACAGAATATCAGTAAACAGAATGGCACCAGATGATGTTTTTCTGTTGTTAATAAACCCTACGAGCAAGAACAAACCAGTACAAAAGCTAATTGCAGAATACGTATTTGACTGCTACAAGAAAAGAAGATCATTAGTTGTTTAGGTTAACATTGATTATAGTTCCACTAGTGTGGAATTTGTGTTATGATTTTAAATTATTTGGATTAAGGTCGATATACATAGGACTGTATAAGACTCCAAATAAAACATTGTCTTGTCTTGTCCAAACTGAGGCCCGAAGAAGGGCCGCAAAATTTCTTTGAGACCGCCCCCTACCTCCTTTGTTAACTCAGGCTCTAGATAACCAGGCCCCCAACCCCCGCTTATCTGAAGGTCTGGATGCGCCATTGATCCTATAACAAAATCATTAACTAAGACGACAAAGAGGTGGCCCCAGGCAAGCAAAATGTGAGAGCTGCTTACCCAAAGGACAAGCTGGAATTTTTTTTTTTTTCAAGCCCTGTTTTAGACATTTTTCTGCTAGCAGTCTCTTTACCGCCGCCTCGTTTAGTACCTTCAGTCTAATGGGATGTCATCTCCATTACTGTTCGCATCACCAAGGAACGCTTCCACGAAATGTTTCAGCAATGTCAAAATGATTTCCTTTTTGTCTTCCTCTAACCCAAGGCCAGGAAGATGGAAAAGGTTCCACTCAAAAGGATTTTCAGAAGCAAGATTCAACATATGGCGCAAAATGTCTTCAGGTCCTTTTGCTGCCTCATAGAGCGGCATTAAGTGCTTAAACAATTCAGTAACCTGCTTCACAAAGGCAAGAACATGGTGCCTCAAGTTTATGTCATTTAAGTTCCAAATGTCTTCAAACAAGCTGAACAACCGAGCCAAAAGTGGAAGCAGAAGGGAGAGATTGGCAATGGAAGAGTGTTCCTTTTGGATTTCTCTCAGATCCTCTACTACGGTCCTTTCCATAGGGTCGAGATTTTCAAGGATACCATCAGCGTTGTTCGCGGCTTGGATCAAATCCTTTATCGTGTCTTGATAAACCTTCCTTCTAGTCTCTTGTTTGACTCGTTCTGTTTTTTCTTTCTTTAACCCAGGAAATAACATTAGTTCGACCGACTGTAGTTTGTTGAATGGACCATCCATTTGTTCTTGTTCTTGGACAGGTGAAGAATGCTTACCTTGTGTAATCAGGATCAACTCCTTTGCAAATTTCACTGGATTTTCCATAATCTGCTCTACTCTCTCTGTCAGCGATTCCAGAATTGCTGGATCTTCAATGTAATCAATGCCAAACAAATTGTATGACTGTACAAAGTAATGCGGCAAATGCCTTTCCCTGAGAGCTTTCAATAAGTTCGCAAATAGTTTCCACATACACTCCGCTCTCCTGCTTCCGATCCACATCTCGCCACCGGTTTCCTCAATCGTTCGCAGAAAAATGTTCTTCAGATGAAATGATATTAGACCCTTTGCCTCTGTAGAAAGATACACACGATGATATGTCTTTAGGCAACGGTAACACTCACGCTGAATTTCATTCATCTCCTGGCTTAACAAGAATTCTGAATGAGAAAAAGAGATTCTAAAGTCGCATTCTGGGTTGCCACCGTTCTTTGGAGCTTTCACGACCAAGTGAAATCCCTCCCGAATAACTTTATCGACTACGTCAGGTGAAGGCCATTTCCGATGTCTTTTACTCCATTCTTGAGCAACCATGGGCCATGTCAGGCATAGAAATGCAGGGATAATTTCAAAAAGCGCGCTGTCAGTGCTCTCATATTCAGTTTCATCTTCATTGGGCAAAAAAGTACTGTCAGGGACTGACTCTTCTGCTCCCCCTTTGATGTGCTTGTTAACGAGTTTTCTTAAAGCTGACGTCAATTCAAATGCGAATGTACATTTTACGGCTGGACTGGTCATGCTGTTTTTTACTGAAACAGAAGTACCTGCAATTGAAGAAAGTACAGATGCAATCACATCGTCGGCGTTATTGGTGATGCCTACTGGACCAAAAATCGCTGGATGGAAATTCTTTAACGTTGAAGTCGCTACGTACTCCGTGTTTTCCGCAAGACAGGACTGCAAAACGGGGTGACCTGTTCCTCTAATTCTGACATACAGTGGATTAGAAGGGAAACAGTATTCGATCAGTTCGTCATCGATCTTTAACTCATCTGCAGTTGGAAAGAACATAGCATCAATATCTGGCGAAACACCCACGTGTAAATCTTCAGCGGAGCTTCCATACAGTTGATACCTGACCTGTTGTGGTCTACAACGTAGAAAGTGAAACTCGTTAATCATCTCGAAGATTTCTTTTAGCAAGAAACTCCGCCAAGTACAAAAACCGTTGACTGTGGCTGCTAAACATTCGTATAAATCACTAAGGTACTCATTTTCTGAATCTTCACTCGAAGCCATTTGTCGCAGGATTTTTGCGGGCGTTGATAAAACCAGGAACACGGAACATTCCGGAACATTCCGGAACATTCCGGAACATCCCGAAACATCCCGGAACATCCAGAAATATGAAATTCGTGAAAAAAAAATTAATTAAATAAAATGATAACAATAACATAGTTTTTGTAAAAACATAAAACAACAAAAACAAAAAATAACGAAAAATAAAGAAATGATTAAGAAAAAGAAACTGCTATCATCTCCGGGTATGAGAAAACAATATTTTGTCGCAAATAATTTGTTGGGTGAATGAGGGTCCATGTAAATGACAGTAATGAGTGAAGGATTGCTTCTAAATTCAAAATATATTAAAATAGCTCGCAAGGAGGGGGATTTTTTAAGCTTTACTCACACAGCTACGGCTTGTAATTGTTTGCCATGAGTTGCGATGGTCTGAAATGTTGGAGCATTGTTAGCCTCCCACGCAAACTTTCTTAGGTGTTCGTCACGCGTTCTTACCCAACGCAAACGTTCTTAGGGGTTAGTAAGTAAGTAAAGTAAGTAAAGCCTTTATTTAAAGAGGGTAGCACCTAATAGCCAAAGGCTAATAAACTTGTGGCCCTCATAAAATACACAACTATTTACAATCTAATAAATATTGTAAGCTAAAATATATAAACATTTAAAATAAAACAAGATTCGATTTTTATATTAAAAAAAATTATTAAATGATAAAATGATGCAAACATTGTTGTTCCTTAAAAATCTTGGCAAACATATGCTACAGAATCTAGTTTCCTAATTTCAATAGGCCACTTGCACTAAGAGGTCACGTGACCAATGCTTCCTTTAAACAATGAGTTGGAACCTTGCTGATGCCAAAAATTGACAGAGCACATAAAATTTATCTTACACCCGGAATTTGAGAGGAAACGCATTTAAGGGAGGTATTTTATGGCACTTTGATTTTTCGACAAAGCAATAGGATTTGTATTGGCCGCCATGTTGGAGGGCATACTCTTGCCCTCCAACATGGCGGCCAAAACTACTTTTTGCTTATATCTTGTTAAACGTTTGATAGTTACACTCAGATGTGCTGTAAACGTTCCCACATCATCTTTTCAACATTTTCCTTGAAGTTTTAGTGCAAAATTTGTGTTTAGAAAGAGGTAATTCATAATTTTAAAAATCACATTTTGGTCACGTGACCAGCTACAAACAAAAAGTTACTCATTTTAAGGAAATGGTGTGAGTTTGAAAAACCAAATTACTATTATTTTGTTTAAGATATGACCCACTAATCGTTTTTCGAAAGCAAAATCATATAACTTTCACTTTCATAAAAACAATGTCACATGACCTCTTAGTGCAAATGGCCTATTGGTGTACTATTCCACAGTCTTGTTGCCGAAACAGCGAAAGAGCGTCACGCGTTCCCGTAAGAACGTCTGCGTGGTGGGAGGCTAGTGCAGTGTGCCATATCAAGCCAAGTCGGTAATTAAGTAACTCATGTCAAGCCAACAAATAGTTATATATAACCGACATGCAGGGGCGTGAAAAGTGGGCTTTTCAACATGCGTGGGCGTTGAAAAGTGGGCTTTTCAAGAATGGCTTTTACGCCCAAAATATTGTTATGTCGTTTTCGCCACCTGAATATTGTAGGTTGTTTGCTCAAAAGAAGGCCTACCAAGGCCTTTCTTGAGCTTCACATGAATTACTTACCGACTAGGCTCTGTGAACTTCAGAATAGCTAAGGCCGGGCTCCCGTCTTTCGGTTTTAGTTGAGAATACTCACATTCGTAGTAATTTCTATACTGTTTACAGTCAGCCTGATATTTCAGACGTCTCCTCGAGTCGCAAGAGGAGTTTGCGACTCGTAGAGACGGTCGAAAAGCCGTAAATAGATAACCGGTAAACCGCATGGCAAACAATTACGAGGGGTGACTGTGTGAGGAAAGTTGAAAACCCCCCTCCTCGCGACCCATTTTAATATATTTTGAATTTAGAAGCAAACCTTCACTCATTTCTGTCATGCATGGACCCTCGCCCCACAATTTTATTTGCGATAAAATATTGTTTTCTCATACTCGGAGATGATTAGAGTTTCTTTTTCTTTATTTCTTTCTTTTTCGGTTTTTTGTTATTTTACGTTATTATCAATTTTTGACAAAAAATATTTTATTATTATCATTATTTTTTTTTTTTCATGAAAATTATTTTTATTTTTTCAGGTTCCGGGATGTTCCGGCATGTTCCGGAATGTTCCGTGTTCTGGGTTTTATCGACGCCCCTCTCTTTTGCCTCATCGATCGGACCTGGCAACGTCTTAAAAATTGGCACCGAAATTGGCAATTTGTCCGCCTGACTATGTTTGGAATGTTGTTTGTTGAAAGCGTATACAGCAGTAACAATCACATCATGTGATGCTTGTTGAGATTTGGCAGCACAGATGATGTTTGACGGAGAGTTCTTTTTTACTGTTTTCTGCAAACATTTTTGCAGTGTTTTACTGTGACGACCAAACGTTTTGCAGGTTTTGCCAATCTAAAGGTTATATGGAATGAAGATTTTCCTTTTTCTTCAATTTAAAACAACAACGCTTGTACTTTGGAACTTGAGAGTCAAAGGTTATAAAATGGTTTAGGGTGTTATTTTCATTAGGATAAATGGATATTTTGTTCTTTATTAATTTCACATTATTTATGTGAGGAACAGATTGTCTATTCAGCATGAAGGTTATCCCCAAATCGACTAATTAAAGAAAACTAAAGCGTGTTTTCATGATATGCCTATCGTTTGAAGTGACATGTTTCTTCAGTAACAGCATCTAAATATTGTTTCGTTTGCTCTGAATTTCTGATGCAACTTGAAATTTGACTCAATTTTTTTCTTACTGTTTGTTAGAGGAGGCTGATCATCATGGCACTTTTTCGCGTTGCATTCTGGGAATAAATGGAAAGAGACCATCACGTGGCCTGCGAGAAAGCTCTCTAGGGGCGAGGAACACAAGAAAACTTTGTCCCCTCCCCGCTAGAGCTCCACAGAGAGCTTGCTCGCACAAGCTCACCACTATCACCAGCGTAAACTTCGGGAAATGGTCAGACTTTGGTATTATGTTTCAAGAGATAGCAATTTGCAGATACACTGCCAATAACTTCTCTCCTCTTAATCGGTCGTGTACATCTCATGCAAACGTGGCACCTGCCTTCTTTTCTTACGTATAGACGTTTGCAAAGAAAATAGAAGCAGTTGGATACAGCCAATCAAGAAACGGCGCCCCTTGCAAATTTATATTGAAATAGAGCAACCAATTATTAACGATATTTTTACTTTAAAACCTATTTTTTCCCGTAGCTTGTCGTCTACGACAGGTGGTTGCACATGGAGGTTCGGCTGTATCATTGCAAATCAAGCGTGAAAAAAAATCGAGAATTTAAGGTATATATCACCTTAAATTCCTTAATACTTTCGGTTCTACATCATACAGAGCCAGGTTCCTGATCATGACATAGCTAGATTGTGGTATACTGGCTGGGTACATTCGTTATAGACCGTAAAATTCCGAAAATATGCCCCGGGGCTTATATTTTTGAAGGACTTGTAGTCCGTAGGGGTTATATACGGCTAGGGTTATACTTGGAAGGAAATTTGCGTCTTCAAATCGACTGGGCTAGCTAGGTTATAGTTGGAAGGAAGTTTATGTCAGTAATTTGCAGAAAGGTTTCACCGAACCCCGCTTTGATCATGAGGACGTTGACCCATCCAAAACGCAGTCATGCAACTACTTTGTCTGTATGGACCGAGGAAATCCAAGCCAAGAGTGAAAGGTGAACTACGCAAACAGCAATAAACTGTGACACTTTCTAACTTCAGTCGTTTGGCAGGCGTAATAGTTATTTCGCCAATACAAAAATTGACATGTTACTGTACCGTTATTGCTTTGTTTTACTTTGTATTTCCAAGTACAAGCCTCCCGGGGTTTATATTCGGAGGGGCGATTTAACGGAGGGTTTTTTGCGTTACGAGCTTGGGGGGTTTATATTTGGAGGGGCTTATACATGGAGTGGCTCATTTTCGGAATTTTACGGTAATGACGACCTTATTACGTCTAAAACAGCCAAACCGGTATTACGTTAGCTTTATGCAAACTGGTTTCTGTCCTCCCGCGTTTATAACTTTGGGAGACTCTTTGTCACCAGATAGACCAGAAACACGTGCTAAATATGAGACCGTCTTTTTGTGCCTCAATAATTAAATGACCTAAATCTGAATAAAGAAGCGGTCCATGGTATGCGGCTAATAATAGGTAGTTCTTTAGCAAAAGTCCACGTCTCCTGAAGGAAAGGGTAACTTCAGTCGAATGGAATGCCATCCAGATCTTGATCCAGACCTTCAGATAAGGGGGGCCGGTCATCCAGACCCAGAGATGGGGGAGGATCTCAAAAACATTTGTTTTTTTCGGCCCTTCAGGTCTCAGTTCAGTCGAAAAAATATAAGGGAGGCCCCTCCCCCTGGAACTGTCACTGCAATGCTTGTCAAATGTCTATGAAAGTTTTTTTTGAACAACATAGTTATCCAAACTATATGACAAACTTTTTCCCGTGTGCACTTTAGTAAGCAATTTAAAAATTATTGATATTTCTCAGAACTCCACTAACTTTTAAATTTAGCAGCTCTGTGAATTTATTTTCCAGTTCTGTGAGGCTACATGATTGGATTGTGTGAATTTCAGGTCACCTTTGTGATAAAAACAAATTGTACATTTACCCAGGGCTGTCATTAAGGGCCCGGGGCTGGAGATTTCCCCCAGCTACTATGAATGTGGTCTCCGGCTACTTTCATAGGAAAACAGAAGAGAAATAAACCAAAAGAAATCCGTAGCTGTTTGATTCCCTGCTTACTTGTCGTATTTGCCCGGCAACTTGAAATCTTGTAGGCAACCCTGATTTACCAGTGGAAAATACCCCTACGTGGCCATGTGCCAACCTAACATTTAAAATCATATATATATATATATATGA